GTGGGTTAGTGGAGGGGAGGGGAGGGGGGGTGGAAGAGGGGGGGGGAGGCAACTTGGAAGGTGAGGGGGCGAGGAACTCGAAGGGTGTATAGACGGGTGCGAGGACAGTAAGGAATACGGGCGAGGAAACGACCTGTGGAGGTGTGGTAGAGATCACAATGGTTAGCACCACCTGGGGTGAGAGTGGTGATCATGGATTGTTGGAGGGACCTTTGGGAGAGGAGGTTGGTGCGAAGGGAGGGAATGTGAAGACCTGTGACAGTACCTGAGGGAAAGAGAGGACAGGGAAGGGTGGAGGTGTTGTGACAGGGGATGGAAAAGCTGCTATCAGCGCCAAGGAGGGACGTGGATGTGGGAAGAGGATTGAGTTTGCCGGCATCTCGAAAGACATTATCAGTGGCTCCACTGTCCAAGACGAATTCAAGTGGTGGAGGAGGGTGAGGCGGAATACTGAATTGAGGTTTCATTAATAGCAGGGGCATACATAGGAGATGCAACAGAAGGAGGCTGACTAAGGAGACCAACAAAGCCAGAGGAGGGAAAGGGGGTCACACTGCCACCTGTGGACGGCGCAGGGGATGGACCGGAGAGGTGGGCCGCAGAGGCGGCATTTCCGGCGGTCCAGCTGGGAAACGGCTGCTGCTGGGGGACAGGAGGAGGAGGGAGGAGAGGAAGTTGGGGCTGGAGGTCGAGCTGCTGCTGGAGCTGCTGAAGCTGCTGCTGGAGCTGCTGGAGCTGCTGCCCATACTGCTGCGGTCCCTGCTGCTGGACACTCTGCTGCTGCTGCTGTTGCTGCTGCTGCTGGTGCTGTTTGCTGCTGCTGCTGCTGCTGCTGCTGCTGAGAGGGGAGAGCAAAGGCCTGGTGGGCCTGGGAGGAGGAGGAGGGGGCGTAGAGGGGAGAGGTGCGAACATCGAGGGGAGATTGGGGGGGGATTAAGGGCGGACCAGCGAGGAGGGGTGCCAGAGTTCCCACGAGCGAACCACTCATCGCTGAGTGCCTTGAAGCACGTGTCAGTTGCATGAGTGGTTTGGTTGCAGCGTTGGCCTCGGGTGGGGCCATAGAGGGGAAGATACTGACAGGGTGGGAAGGCCGCTGCTGCCCCACGACCCGCACCACCACGACCGCCAGAGCCGCCTCGACCACCACCACGCCCACCTCCACGCCCTCCCCCACGTCCGCCCTTGCCGCTGCGCTGCTGTGCTACCGCGGCAGTGGAGGAGGAGTGGCGAAGGATTTCAGCCTCAGTGGTGATAATCCACTGGGCAACTTGAGCGGGAGTGTCATGCTTGGAGAGGAGTTGCATGTATGCGAGCTTGTGGGCATCGAAGGCGGGAGTGAGGCCTTCGAGGAGGTGGCAGCAGATGACGGTGTCAGGGTAGGTAACGCCAAGTGCTGCAAGGCGGCGAGCAAGGTCAAGGACGCGGCGAGTAAAGGCGGCTGCGCCGGCAGTGGAATCCATGGTGATGGATCCAAATTCCTTGATGAGGGCATAGAGGGTGGCGATGTCCTGCCGGTCAAAGAGGTCGACAAGCAGTTGCCACAGGTGGGAGGAGGAGGTAGGTGAAAGCTCTCGTTTGAGGGAGGAGGGGATAGTGGCGAGGAGGATGGCGAGAGCTCGACGGTCAGCAATGCGCCACGCAGCGATGTCGGTGGTGTAGCTGGCGAGACGTGTAGTGTACGTGGCGAGTCGAGCTTGGTAATCGCGGTGGCGGGCAGCAGCCTCGTCGTAGGCGCGCTTGTCGTCCTCATAGCGCAGTTGACGGCGAAGGTGGTCGTTGAGTGCGGTGCGGTAGGTACGGATGGCAGTTTCCATGCTCTGAGGATTGTTGACATCCGTCGCGAAGATGGGGGGATCACCAGGAGGCTCGGGCTCAGGTCCGGGCTCGTCAGGAGGAGGTCCGGTGGGGGCGGAGGGGGCGGTGGGCTGGAGTCCGCCTTCCTCCTGGAACACGACGGAACGGAGGGTATATCCGCTGACGACAACCGAGGAGAGCAACACCTCGACGGAGTGGGCATAAGAGTGCCAGTTGGCGGCCGAGTTGTCGCCCAACAATTCGAGGGAGTCAATGGTCGCCAGGTCGACCGATGAGTCTGCGGACGCCATAATGGCGAAGCCGGGAAGGTGCCGCTGCTGGTGCCGTTGAAGGTGCCGCTGCTGGTGCCGTTGAAGGTGCCGCTGCTGGTGCCGTTGAAGGTGCCGCTGCTGGTGCCGTCGAAGGTGCCGCTGCTGGTGCCGTTGAAGGTGCCGCTGCTGGTGCCGTTGAAGGTGCCGCTGCTGGTTTAGGGTTAAAGGTGCCGCTGCTAGGTGTTGTTGCTGGTGCGATTAAGGGTGGAGTAGGGGGGGGGGGGGGGGAGGAGGGGGGGGAGAGGTAGGGGAGAGGGAAGAAGGCGCGGAAGTGTGGGGTAGGGCGCGGATGAAAGGGGGAGGTCGCGCAGGTCAGTCGCGGCGGCGCGTCGGCCGCCCGTGAGAGCGCGAGGGTCGGCCGCGGCTCTGCGTCGGCCGTCCGCGTCAGCGCGAGGGTCGGCCGCGGCTCCGCGTCGGTCGTCCGCGTCGGCGCGGAGGTCGTCGGCGATCGCGCGGCGGCCGTTCGGGATGGCGCACAGGTCGGCCGCGACTCCGCGCTGGCCGTCCGCGTCGACGCGCGGGGTGCGCGTGGCCGCGCGCTGGCCGTCCGCGACGGCTCGCTGGCCGTCCGCGACGGCTTGCTGGCCGTCCGCGACGGCGTGCTGGCCGTCCGCGACGGCTTGCTGGCCGTCCGCGACGGTGTGCTGGCCGTCCGCGACGGAAGGCGGGAGGGAGGATTGAGGCCGCGGGAGAGCGGTCGGAGGCCGCGAGAGGGAGGATTAAGGCCGCGACAGGGAGGATTGAGGCCGCGGGAGGGAGGATTGAGGCCGCGGGAGGGAGGATTGAGGCCGCGGAGGAGTAGATCTGAGCCGCGGAAAGCTAGATCTGAGGTACGGGAGGGAGGATTGAGGCCGCGGAGGAGTAGATCTGAGCCGCGGAAAGCTAGATCTGAGGTACGGGAGGGAGGATTGAGGCCGCGGGAGGCTAGATCTAAGACGCGGAGAGGAAATTACGGCCTAAGGATCGAGGGAGGTGGCGTGAGCCATTTGGCTCTGAATACCATGATAGAATTCAAGAATGGTTGAGTAATGAGCCAAGGAGGCTCTATAGTACAAGCATGCAAGGAAGAGAGGTTGGAAGAAGGTGCAACCCTATTGGCCACTAAGTTGGCCAATGGGTGAGTTGCCTTGTGGAGTAGGGAACCCCACAATGTTGCTAGCTTGTGATTGGTTGGCCTTAGGACCAAATGTTGGCAAGTGCCAACCAAGGACCAAGACCAAACCAAATCTTGACCCAACCACAAAGTGTGGTTGGAGTGTACACCCAACCCCCCAATGGCTTAAAGAGCTACACCTATTCTAGCCTATGTATGTTGTATATATAAGATACATTTACAACAATGCTCTCATTTTTGCGCACGCACGCACCCACCCCCACACACACACATACACACACACACACACACACACACACACACACACACGCGCGCGCGCGCGCGCACGCACGCACGCACGCACGCACTCACGCACGCACGCACGCACGCACGCACGCACGCACGCACGCACACACACATACTGCTGCTAGGGGTACAGCAGGGAGTGTGTGAAAGGGGTGTGGGACAGCTGGGGGAAGTTGAGTGGAGGCAGTCGTCTTGTCGTCCGCAGCGCCTGAAGTCCAGAGAGCCACGACCCCCTGTGGCCGTGTAGTCCGACGCTCTGCGCCTGGTAGCCACAGTGTGAGCACTCCTGGTAGTCCAGAGAGCCAGCTGCGCCTGTCGCCGTGTAGTCCGGGTTTAGCCTGGTAGCGACAGTGCTGCGCACTCCTGGGAGCACAGCGAGCCAGCTGCGCCTGTCGCCGTGTAGTCCGGGTTTAGCCTGGTAGCGACAGTGCTGCGCACTCCTATTGCCCGCCTGTCTGCAGTTTCAGCCGTCGTCTCGCATCTTCTCGCCCCCACAGTTTCTCCTCCTCCTCACTTGCTCTCTGTGATAGCCTCTAGCTTTGCTTATAATTGTGAACTATTGCTCTGCCTGCTTGTTGTGTTGATTGTACCCCACTTTGACTATGGGGGTGTGTCAGAATGTGATGTTTGTTCTAGCCTGCAGTGGGGTACTCTATAGCGAGTACAACCCAAATTAGGGTTTGCTATATGTACTCAACTGCCTGCTAGTGAAAAGCCCTCTTTCCTGTTTCTAGTTTTCTGCCTACTGTTTCGACATGTCTGTGTCCTGTGCCTCCCATTGTGGGAGGATGTCAGAAGACCGGCACTGGGTATCCATTATTAATTTAGGAAGGGTTACATACATCTTAGCATGGGGGGTTATGGGCGCACTGACCCGCTACTTGAACAAGCCCTTTTATCCCGGTGGTTTAGTGGCTGGGATTTCGACGCGTCGACGGGGAAGTGAAACGAGATAGAGTATTGAGCCAGGTAGCTCGGACGAAAAATCACAAACAAAAAAAACCAAAAGTTCGGTAAGGTACGTGGTTGAAGGTGGAATGACATTTCCTTCTCTCATTTGTAGCAAAAATAAATGAAGTATTGGCTCACTAAAACGTTCGGTTTTCTTTAATTCATTTCCCTTTTCACAATACCGTTATACATTTAGGAAAGTGTTACATATTTTTGAACACTAAAATGATTCGAGATCATTTCTTCTTTGATCCTGTCTCGAAATTCTGTGATATTCTGTATATTTTTCTGTGATATTATGGTATTGTATCTGTAATCTCTACTTTTTCTATTCATGGAATATGCTACCTGAAAGTGGTGGGCTCACAAGTTCGGTAAAGTCGGTGAGGTGCGTATCGCGTATTTCATTTTTGGGCGACCTTGCGATCAGCATTTGAACCTTACCCATTGTCGCAGGTGCCACCATTTGCAAAACTTGGTAGGTGTGGCGATCCACAAGCAATATGGAGGAGGCTCGTCAAGCCATGGCTGCTCACGATTTCGTGTTTAGCTGCGTAATTCGGAGAGGTACCCACGACGGTAATGTATATCGACAGTTTATAGTCAATGCTAACCTGAACCTTGTATTTGCAGAGGATGTTCCTCTTCTTACACGCCAGTCACCATCCGCAAGTCACCAGTGGGAGAGAATTAACTTGGCCACCGCGACCTCGACTCGCAGAAAGACGAGGAATCCCAAGAAACGTAATAGATATAGTGTTATTCTTCGCAATTTTCATTCAATTTACGAAACTCCATGACATCTGTCCTCGGTTCCACAGGTGAATTGAAGGCTTCCAGATTCCTTTTGGACTTGGTTGAGGACCAAGGGGGATTCGAATTGAACGTACCAGAAAGCATTCCGTTAAATAAGTCAATGGAAAATAACAGGTTAACTTCTTGCAAGAGAAAGCGTGACTCGGCCGCAACAGAGGATCCGAATAAAGCTCAGCGTGTCGGCGACCGTCGGTCGTTGTGCACATCTGTCCTTTCGCCGATTCAGACTTTTCTCCAGTCACTCATTGCTCACTGAAAGTTCGAAGGTCGTGGATGGCACGAGTTGCCAAACTGCGTGAGGGTCATTGTCATTCAAGGCTCGTCGTGGCTGCGCTTCGCGGTCAGCAGGTTTTCTTTAATTAATCGTTTCCCTGGCGTCTGTGTTGAAGTTACCACCTTGTACAAAAGGACTTGCACCATGGCGGAATATGTCGTGAAGACATTGACTTATTATTGACATCCCCAGCCCGCTCGTTTTCCCGCGTGGATTTTGATAAAATTTAGCACGAATAAATAAAATACCGCTCAGAACCCAGGGAACAGGACCGCGCCTAGGCAAGGCTATACCTCCATTGCAGTAAAGGACTGGCAGTACAACGAAGGCCAACGGCTAGCAGACTCCTCCATAGAGCATGAAACAGCATGCATACGCTTCAGGCCATGTAATCTATTGCAGCTGCATGTGCCCACCAGCAAGGCAGCAGCTTCCAAGTACCGTACAAGTGCATCTGTAAGGTGGATTTCCAAACGTTTTGCATGAGCAAGTGCAGCTGTCATTTCCATTCTTTGCACCACAGCAAGGCACATTCCAGATGCAGCCATTACCACAACACAAGGACCCAGAAGGGAAGTGGTTGAAACTCATTACGAATTACTCTAAATGTACCAGCACATCAACAGCAGCTTAACTCCAGCACGAGCCATGCTTACTCCCACATGGTGCTTCCTTCCATCAACCTCCCCATGACTGCCCTCTCCTCCAACTCTCCTCCCTCCATCCCCTTCAACCCCCCTGTAAGAGACCTCCTCAGCCTCCTCTCCAATGCCCCCACCAGCCGCTTCCTCCCTATACGATACCGCAACACCACCTCCCTCTCCCTTGCCTCCCTCTCAGCAATGCCCCCTTTCCTCTCCTCTCCCTCCTCCTCACTCTCCTCACTCTCACTTTCCTCGCTTTCTGTACCCCCCTCACTTTCTTGAATCTCACATTGTTCTTGACTCAAAACTTCCTCCCCTTCCTCTGGACCCTCCCTTCCTCTCCCCTCGACAACCCTCCTCACACCCTTCCTCTTCCCCAACTTCCTCGTCAAACCCCTCCTCTCTCTCTCCAACAAGCCTGCCAATTCCTCCTCGTCCTCCTCCAACCGGCTGCCAAACCCATCAATAACAGCGCAGCAGCGTGCATGTATGCCATCCAGAGCAGCTTTCAGGCATGCGAGCAGGCGGGGGGAGAGGCGGGGGCGCAGGGGGTGCAATGCCGGGTGGAGATGCCCCAGCAGTAGAGAACGCTGGCACAGGCTATGGGGTGGTGCCGGGGCTCTGTTTGTGGGAGGAGGGAGGAGGACGGAGAGGGGTTGTGGGGACAGAAAGAGGCCGAGTAAGGGGGCAGAAGCCACTTCTCATGGGGTATGGGTTGCGGTTGGGGCTACCAATGAGGACTGTGGGTGGAAAGATCACAGGATAAAGAAGTCGAGGGTGAAAACGGACAGGACACACCATGGCAGAGAATGCAGGTCAAATGGGTTGGAAGGAGTCGGGTGAGGAGCGGGATCATAAAGGACAGATTGCTATTACAGGTACACGTGCAGGGGCACAAGCAACGACAGGAGCGAGTAATATCAATGATAAACAAGAGCCACCATGACCACACAGTCACTACGACCACACACCCGCACTTGACTCAACCACACACTCGCAATCACCCTGACAATAGATGAAGATGAGCCAAGGATTGGAAGAGATAAAAATGCAGCAAGCAATGACACGCTTTCAGATATACAACATACTTGCTGAACAAACACATGCATACAACAATGTTAAGTAACACACTTGCGCACACCACACTCATAGAACAGACTCGCGCATGCAAACAAGCACACTCGCTGAGCATACTCGCACAGACAACACTCACACACACAACGCACTAACACTCACCCCGGCCATAGACGAAGAGGTGCCAGAGCACAGCAAAGCAGGCCATGATGCGAGGGTCCACATGCCCATGCGGCCACACTGCATACCCCCTCTCCGCCTCAAAGCTATACTCTGGCCCATACAGGCATGCCCATAATGCAGGTACACTGTGGCCGTTGCTGCTGATCCCTCTGCTGGTAAATCCTTTGCCGGATGGCTCTTTGCTGGGATTTTTGTTTTCTGGCAAGCTCTGCCCTTGGGTCCTGGTTTTTCCTGGTTCATGAGAAAAAGCATGTGCGTCTGCACTCTCCAGTCCCCTGTTCCTCTCATTCGCTTTCTCCGTCCTCCTTTCATTCTCCCGCACTCTCTCCTCCCTCCCATCCAAGGCATGATGGTTGTCCCTCCCATCCAAGGAATGATGGTTTGTCCCTCCCATCACCTTCTTGACTGCCCTCTATTCTTTCTCCCCTCTTCCCTCCGTGCTTAAACATCTTTCTTTCTCTCCCGTCCAACCATCCACAGTTTCGCCATCTCCCCCCACATCACTTCTGCCATTCCACTCTCCGTTTCTCTCTTGTTCATCGCCCGCTCTCACCTCCTCTCCTCCCTCCTCCACACTTCTCCCAATCCCCCCGCTCCTCTCCTCTCCCACCGTCCCTCTCCCTTCAGCCTCCTTATCAGAACCCAGCACCACGAGTGCTCTTTCCTCTTGCCCATCCTCGCACCTTTCAAGACAAGTTTCAAACCTTGTTTCTGTGTTCTCCACCCTCTCTCCCTCACCACTCACACACCCCCCATCGCACTCTCCCCACCGAAGCCAACCTTCACCAACTCCTCTAATCCATCCAAGGACCTCTCACAAATGGCCACATTTTCCTTTCTCACCCCGCCACTGCCACTCCCACCGTTTCCCCCACCACTTCCCCTGTTACTCCCCTTCTCACCCTCAACTTGAATTTCCCCTCAGCCCCAGCCCCCTTCCCCTCCTGCTCCCCCTTTCCCTTCCCCTCACACTCATCCCACTCTCTCCCACCACCTCCCCACCTCCCTCCTCCACAGCCCCAATCAGCACCCCTCACCACCCCCCCCACACTCCTCACACTCTCCTCCACCTCCTGCACCACCCCTCTTGCCACCTCCCCATCCTCCTCCCCAAAATCCCCGGGGAAAAAATGCTCCGCGAAAAACCCAAGCAGGTCGGAGGAGGAGTGG